TTTTTCTTTACAAGAAGTTTTGGACAATTTCATTTTTGTGCATCTTGGCATGATTTTATTTAAATGTCTTTGCAAAAGGTTCATTTTTCTTGGAAATGTGGTATTATAAGTTGAACTAAATTCAGAAATTTTAAATCTTTTATAAAAATGTTTGAAACTTTTGTTTGAAGCAAGGTACAATTCCCCTATGATGAATGCTATCACTATATAAAATGTACCAATAAAAAAAATTCAAGAAAAAAAAAAGTACTTTACTAATAGAACTTCTGGGAGAATAATAGCCATTAGGTAAAGTTGTTTGAATGGTGCCTCATACACAGAAGCACTCTGTGTGCAAGATTTTGTGTTTATTTTGTGATGCTAGGGATAGAACTGAGGGCCTTCACACTAAGTTACATTCCCAGCTCTTTTTATTACTTTCGAGATAGCATCTCACTAAGTCATCAAGTTGCCCAGGCTGGACTCAAACTCGCAATCCTCCTGCCTCAGCTGCCCAGAGAGCAAGCATTACTGGTGTGTACCACCATGCCCAACAAGGGGCTCTATAAGTATTATTGTTACTTTATTTACTATGATATGAGGGACCCAAGTGCAGCCTAAATTCCACGAAGTCAGATTTGTTCCTTGTCCTCATCATAAAACCCTTTCCTCCAACTGCATATAAAACCTGCCTCAGAGGGCCTGCCCCATAGCACAGTTCTTTAAGTGGCTACTTCAACAAAGCAGTCAGGCTCAGGAGGCTGTGGTTAGATTTAGATCCCCACAACTCAAGCCAGCCAAACCTGCCCTGAAGGCATTCAGAGCAAAAAAAAAAAAAAAATCCTTAAAAAAAAACCTGCTTCAGAAGATCAAGCTGTCAGGATCCACAGAATAATGGACTTACGGAGAAAGGCCATTTTGGATTTCAATGGGATAGAGGTAATTGCCTGTCAGGAGAAAAGCACTTATTAGGGACTTCTCTTCTGGGGAAGCAGATGATCTGCCAGAAGGATGCCAGAACACGGGAGGGGGCGCACTGCAGCTCAGTGGCAAGGCTCCTGTCTAATGTGTCTGGGGTTCTAGGTGGATCCCAGCACCGCAAAAAGAAAAGAGAAAAAGAGAGGAGGAAGACAGAGATAGGCATTTGAAGGATAAAAATCTCCATTTCACACTAGATCTGACATTTTATTTAAGTAATTGGAAAATCCTCATGTAATCTGCTTCCAGGGATATGTGAAGAGGCCAGTAACCTGCCCATTATGTCAGATATAGGGCTGGTGGTGTGACACAGCCAGTCACATTCACTGTGACTTCAATCTCCAGCACTAAATGCAAGCAAAAACCCACAACAATGTGTACAAACGTGTTTTGAATAGAAACACAGATATTACAATTGACCCCATATGGAAAACAAAATAATCCTGTATAGAAATTATAACAATATATCAGTAGTTTGAGCTTTATTTTAAAGTAATATCTTAAAACACTATTCAGCTAGGTCTGTGGGCACACACCTACAGTGTTAGCACTCTGGGAAGCTGAAGCAGGAAGATCACATGTTCAAGCCCATTCTGGGCAACTTAGTGAGGCC